CGGTCCTGCCTAAATACTAGAAAGTAGCAAAGAGAAATTTTTTTTCAAAAATGGACAAAAATCAAATCAGAAATTGTCACGTGACGAAGGACTAAGGGCTGTCACCGCGTTTCGCAAGTACGTTCGTATGGGTTGTTTGCAAATGGCGACCTACCATACAACCAACGTAGTAATGACACAACATAAAAAGGCCATCATGGTACAGAAAATATCCATTACCGTCATCGATGCTTGAATTCTTTCATCAGCTACACTAATACTCGACGTTAACGTACGAGAAGGGATAGAGGGTTTGCGGAAGCTTCAGAAGGGGTTACTCGGAAAAGGGTTGCGATTCGCGGAACAAATGACATTTGTATGTCGTCGATGTGAAGGAATTTTTGAAATATTTTTCAAAAACGCGTATTTATACTTTACACATAACGCAAAAAAAAGCTGATAATTTTTTTTTCAAACTTTTATCAAAACCGTGAAAGCTAGTTGGAATTTGGTGAATATGCATACCTGTCGAACAAAGGAACTCCGGAGGCAGCTATAGGCTGCTGGTGAAATCAGAGAACAAATATAACGTAGTAACGATGCATTTCAAAAAGTACTTTTTTTTCGAAAATATTCCAAAAAAATAAGTATTCGAGTGTCACGAACCTAAATGAAAAACGAATTACGTCCTGGTGGGTGAATTAATATTTCATAGGATCTACTAGCTGCGAAGGGTAGTTTTTCTCATCCCCTTGTATTTCAGTGATATACATTTTTCACGCATACAAATAGCCACGCACTCGATATTATTCACGAAATCGACTAATATGTCTGAGAAAAGCTAAAAAATTTGTTTAAATAAGTATCTCGTTATAGTAATAATTAATAGATAACAACTGATATCGTATTTATATTGAATAATTCTGACTTCAATTATCAGGTCTGGCGGCAACACGCATTTCCACGCTTGACCTATGCCCCTTCCTACCAGCTTCATGAAAACAGCCTTTAGTATCACGATGAGTAGACCACCCCTTAATTATTTCAAGAACGCTAGTCCTAGGGGTCCATATTTGTATACACAGTGTAGAATGTAAAAAGAAAATGTTTGTAAATTTGCAATATACATTTAATATATAAATGTATATAAATTTTGCAAACTCAATATATTAAAATCAAAATCATACGTATTTCCAATAAATTTATAATACGTTTAACAAAATTACTGAACTGGTGTGAACATAGCGAAATTCATATTAAAATCAATATAAATGTTGACAAATATTCGATCGACGCAGCCCCCAGTAGCCGTAGCTTGACAGGGGTAGTATATCAAATATCACATTCGCACAGTCAATGTACTGTCACAGTGCAATTACGAAAACTTGCTGTGTATTAAATTACACATACTATATATACATATTTTTTAATTTTAAATTCAAAATTTTGGTACACGCGTATGACAAATATATGTATAAAAATTCCAAAAACATATACGCATAAATTATAGAACGCTACCATCCCTCGATACCTTCGTATCGCCGTGGTAAATGAATGATAGTAATTTTACATTTGCGACAGTGGCGCTCTCTGGCGGCGAAATAAATTTCGTCGCTTCGAGCATTGTGGCTACTTTGCATGTGACCGCGCGCGTCGTCGCTACTGAGAGGAAAACAAAGAATGAGGTTGCATGCAGTCTGACCAGAAGCCGGGGAGGGGAGGGGAGGTTGTGAAAGGACGAAGTCAAATTAGTCAGTGAAAGAGGAGAATGAAATTTTTTGTTTTCATTTTCTACAAATATATATAACATATGTGATTGTACATATGCTATGTGTAATTGTGGATGTACTATATGTAAGTTTGTTCTTAACATATATGTACCATATAGTCTTATATGCTCTTATGTATTAACTATATACCGTGTCGGCCTCTCGTACAGCTACGCAACTTTGTACTTTAGTCCGAAGGGTTAGAGAAGCGCGCCGAGGAAAAGGGCGAAGTGGAGAATAAGGTTAGGGCAGAAAAGGTAGGGTGAAAGGTCTACTGAATATTCAGAATGGTCGGAAGAGCTTTTTCTAATTTATTCGAGAACTCGTTCTAGAGTAGAAACAGAAATGGGGGATTGACTGATGGGAAGAGTGGTGAAATGGGGGGGGGGGGGGGGGG